GGTGGTTCTCACGGGGGCACGTGTACCTAGAAGCAGTGTGTTGGGAGCCATCTTTGGAGACCAGCCGCCATGCCAGCTGTATAGGGAGGTTACAGAAAGTCTCTGTGCCTCATTGGCCTCATCTGTAAAATGGGGATAATCATAGCAACTACTTGCATCAGGTGGTGAGCTTTCGGTGGGTTAATACTTGTAAGGCCTTTAGAGCAGCACCTGGCTCGCAGCCCAGGACTGTTTTGAAAGTGAAAATTAAAAAAAAATTTTTTTAATTGAATGTTTATTCTTGAGAGAAAGAGACAGAGCATGAGCGGGGCACGGGCAGAGGGAGGGAGACACAGAATCCGAAGCGGGCTCCAGGCTCCGAGCTGTCCGCACAGAGCCCATCGCGGGGCCTGAACTCACGGACGGCGAGATCGTGACCCGAGCCGAAGTCGGACGCTCACCCGACTGAGCCACCAGGTGTCCGGAAACTGAAAATTTTAAAAACAGATGCATAAGCCACATAAAGGTCAAATGAAACAGTAACTGTAACTGATGTCTACAGCGTGATAGCTGGCCAGCGAGAAGCGGTCTTGGGTAAGAGGCGGTTTTTGTGGGTGCAAAGTAGCATCTAAAGACCAGGTGTGCATCTTGACCTTCGCCTGTGTGGTTTTGCCCTGGGTCACACAGCGTCAAAGAGGCTTAGAATCATAAGGGCCGTTTGCACTGGCTGACGAGGGCTGTCCCCCGTGTGGCTCTGGCAGAGAGCCTTCTGGCCTGTGTCGTCTTCTGGCTGGTGAGACCATGGTTTCGTGTCCTTTAACAGCTGAAAATGCACTCTTTTTAGATTTTCCCGTCTTCTTGGTACTTCGGTGGACAGTGTGTAAGTTCGGGACGGCCGAAGCCAAGAGGTGAAGGCTGAGGGGCTCAGCCTGATGCTGCGAGGGGGCTGCTGGGAGTACTGCTTGTTTCCTGTGCGTAGAACTCCGTCCCGAAGGTGCACGTTGGGTTTGCGGTCTTTTCTTGGGCACGTTGGTGG